AAAGGATCACTTTAACAGAAACTACTGAGTAATCGCTCTGTCAGGGCCAAGAATAACATCAGCTCAGTGTCGGCAATTAGAATCGGTCTTTGGGGGGGCCCCCTACCCTGCGGGCCCTCCTCACCGACCCCCGCGAAGAGAGCTACTCATGCTGATGTCACTGGCAATCACTGTGGCCCAAGAAAGTCCCCAACTCAGCTCCAAGCGAGGTGTCTGGACTTTTTCTTTGGGGGCAGGAAGCCACGAGACAAGACAGAGCCATCAGGTTCGACCAGAATCAGACAGATTCATTTCACTGTCTTCTCCTCACCATTGCCTCACTTCCCTTGATCATTCTAAAGTGAATTTTAGGGATTAGAGGACATATAGATACGATGCACAGATATATGTATTGCAGTTGGGGGAAGGTTGAGACCGCAGTGATCCCGAGTACTGCTATCACTACTGAGACAAAGAGGGAGGAATCTGTCCTCTTAGCTCTTGTCCACCATAAAACTTGAATCCTGGGGGAAGTGACTGCTGAGCAAAACGTACCCTGATAAGAACAAGAATGCACAAGGAGGTTTTCAAGCTTGGAAAATGGATTTATAAGGAGGCAGTGGTAGAAACAACGTTCCTATAAAAAAAAATGATTTGTCTGAAATTTTACAGGGTAAGTTTGAACTTAGCCAGTCTCCCTTGCAAAGGACAGAGATTAAATACAGCTACTTCTGATCTCTTAGCTGCTCTCCAGCAGGGCATACTAGCTTCACCTGGGAACCTGTTAGAAATGGAGACCCCTGAGCCGCACCCAAGCTTGGCTCCCGAGTCAGAAACAAAATGGAGGGGGTGGCTGGCACTTTACTAGGCCTCCAACTAATTCAGCTGTTCAAACCTGGGGCCTGCAAATCCAGCCTGCCCCACAGGTTTTCAGAAAAAGCCTACTAATTTAGCCCCTTATTGTCTGTGACGACCTTCATTCTAGGATGGCAGAGCTAAGGAGCGGCCACTGAGACTCTCCAGTCTGCAAAGCCTCAGGCACCTACCACCAATCACAGCGCAAAGCTACCAACTGCGACAGGGACTTAGAATCTTCTTTCTTTAGAATGTTCTTTCTTTTCTTTTTTTTTTTTTTTTGGTCACACTTGGCAATGTACAGGGGTTACTCCTGGCTCTGCACTCAGGAATTATCCCTGGTGGTGCTCAGGGGACCATAGGGGATGCTGGGAATTGAACCCGGGTCGGCCGCGTGCAAGGGAAACGCCCTACCCGCTGTGCTATCGCTCCAGCCCCAGAATCATGTTCTTTCAATTGCTGATGAGACCCAAGAGCATGTTTGAAAGGATGCGACTTATTTTCTCAAGCTCTGTTCCTGGAGTATGGAACAAATCACAGGGATTTCCTTGTACCTGTGTCCGGGGAAACCAGTAAGTGGTTCTGGGTTACTTTTCCTCTCACGGTCCTCCTGCAGGATCAGTCTTGCAAGGGTGGGTAAATGTGTACCTGTGTTGAGCTTTCTGAGTACATGGTTAGACAGGGATGAAGACACAGGCTTTCCCTGAGCGAGGGCTAGAGAGGCCCATTCCCACACTCCTCTCCTGAGTCAGAGTTGGCTTCCCTGAGGTGAACAACTTCAGTGAGCTGCTGGTCCAAGTGCAGAAAAAGCTGGAGAACTTCCTTTGTGTGTGAGGCTGCATCATCTTTCCTCAGACGGTTATCAGATATCGTGATGAAAGGCACCGTTCACATACATAATCACTGCAGGGGTTTATGCCAGGAGGCCACATGCCAAAATTATACTGCCCCCCCCCCCCCCTTAATGTCCTTTTCCTTAAAGAGGTTCTCATTTATAGACCGCTGGCTAGGTAAATTAGATTTCAAATGAGCCAGCATTGGTGGTTGTGATAATGTCAACCTACACCTCAGGAAAATGAACCCACAGCATGAGGAGCTGGATCAGAGCAACTGCCTCCCTTTGAGGGGTTTGCTCAAGGACAGCAATGCTGTCCATCAGAGTCAAACCACACTTCAACCTGCACTGGAGGGCAAGCACTACGGCTGGTCTGAAGCCAGCACCAGAAACTCATTCTCTAGCATGGTTTTGCTTTTCTTGTGGAGTGATTACATTCTTCTGTAAGAGAGTGCTCTAACTTACTAATGATTAGTTAATATCTTATTTTCTGTTTTGTTATAAACTCTTTCATCTAATGGAATTGAGGTTTTTATTTTTTGCTGTTTGTGGTTTATTTTTAGCTTGCCCCAACAGTCTCAGAACTTCAGCCTTAGTCATTTTTACCTAAATCAACCACCAGGGATTGTAAGGATAGGGGGAAGAAATAAAAATGATGTTATAAACATATATAAAATGATGATGAATGGGTTTCTGCTCCCTCTCCAGGAGACACGAGATAACTCCCTTCTTGGGAGTTCTGCATCCTCCCTAAGACAGATATTCTGACAGATTCCAAAAAACAGATTTTTACAAATACTTCATCATTCAGTGAAACTAAACCAGCATAATCCTCAGTAAAAAAAAAAAAAATCCACACAAGAATAGCAATACCCTGAGTTTTCAAAAAGAATGTGAGTTGCTGGAAACTAATCAAAAGACAGAGGGACTTACAAATGAAACCGTTTCTGAAAGTGAACATCAAAACTGTCTCTCCCCCCCCAACTCTCCCCAAACTTCAATGTCCTGCACTTGGCTTCCTTTTTGCCATCATCCACCATTCTCAAGGGATGAAAAACACTAAAAGGGCCCAATGGGCTAAATTTTTAGAGCCCTAGATTACACTCGAATAAGTGAAACAACACTTCTTACAGGAGTACAGGAGACCTCCCACAGCCAGCATCAACTTGAGTTGGCATTCTCAAGTATTCTGAATGATGGGGAGAGTTCAGAAGTTGAAACTGTTTGGGCTGGGGATGTGGCTCAACAGTAAAACACATGCCTTGCTTACAAGAAAGCTGGGTTAAACTCCTCCCCCCCCAGAACCCCCCCACACATGGTAGAAATTTACAAACTTTCGGGGGGAAATCTAAGATTTATTCTTATATCTGTATCATGGAAATGCAATTAGGCTTAAATGTTGTCACTTCTCAACAAGGGGACTGCTACATGACGAACAATCTGAAGTTATAGTACAGCAAGTAAAGAGTTTGCCTTGTACATGGCTGCCCTGAGTTCGATCCCCAGCATCCCATATGGTCCCCTGAGCACTGTCAGGTATGGCACCCAAACCTAAATAAGTAAATAAATGGAATGTTGGAATATATAGTGCCTCTCATAGAAGCAGACTGTGGGTGGGAGGCAAATGGAGGTTTGGAGGGCATCGGTGGAAGAAAGGGGACAATAGTAAAGGGATGGGTGTTGAAAGATTGTGTGCATGAAACCCAATCACAAATTACTTTGTGACTTCCCAAGTGACTAAATAAAAATGAGTAAATAAATGAGATGCTAGAGTCCACGCTTTCCAGAAAAGAAGTCTATATTTTTCTACAATTAAACTCACCTAAAGGTCTGGAGAAAGAGTACAGTAGGAAAGGCGCTTTACTTGAATGTGGCTGTAGCAGCCATGTGACCCTATGTTGAATTCCCCAAGACTGCATGGGGTTGCCTGAGCATGGCCAGGGTCGCCCCTGAGCACTGTCACATGTAGCCCTAGCCCTGGAAATCAATCCATAACAAACAACAAGTGAGTCTAAAGATCTATTATAAACACCTGAGCTCAGAATTGCTTCATTAGAGCGAGGTAATATGCAGTGTAAGTAATCATAGACAAAGATGATCAAATGATGAATGATACTGAAGTAATGTATCTGGGTGGCAGTTGAAAAGGTGAGTAAAGAAAGGGTCTAAAAATACTTGTTTTATGTGGGGGGGGTGGTGGGGGAACCTTCAGGACATGTTGCCTTGGCCACACAGTCAATACTCATTTTGTACAAACCAATGAGCCATATTTTCACAAGAAAGAGCAAATGACAAGAGCGCAAGCTCGCGGATTTCTTGCCCTAACCAAATATAAGAAAACCACCGAGATCTGGGAGTGATCCGGCCAACAGAATGTGCAGAGAAGCTGACCTCTTTGGGGCCTGACTTCTGTGAAGTCTTTATCAATACCTGGGGCTCTGCTGGTTCAGCCGCACGACTAACGAACGTGAATGGTTCCCTCGCATAGACGCTCGGGAGTTTCTGTCATTCTTAGAGATAACCCAGGAGGGAATGGAATATCTTGAGAGCGTAAATTCCAGGCCAGCCAAGCTTTCACTGTCTATGGTTACTGTTTTAATAATCCACTGTTTAAAACAGTGCCAAACTCATGCATTTGTGATACGAATTGTATCAAATGGAGCAATCACCTAGCTTATGACCATTTTCTGAGGTGAAGAGCTTGAAAGCTATTCATAGAAAATCTTGATAGATGATGGAAGATTAGGTTTTTTTTTTTTTTGAGGGGTGGTGGGGCACACCAGAGATGCTCAGGTCTTACTCCTGTCTCTGCACTCAGGAATTACTCCTGGTGGGTTCCGGGGACCAAACTCGGGTTGGCTGTATGCAAGGCCAACTCCCTACTCACTGTACTATCTTTCTGATCCAATGATGGAATTAGTCACTGTCACTGTCCTCCCACTGTTCATCGATTTGCTTGTATGTGCTTATATATGCCACACTATGGTGATACAGAGTGGTATATTTAGAAAAAAACATTCTTAAAATGCTTTTAGGTACCTGGGAATTAGACCCATGTGGAGATTACTGAGCTATGTTCATACAATATGAAGGGCAAATATTACCACAGAGATTTTGAGGGAGAAATATCCAAACAAAAGAATGTCAAAAGTCGTTTCAACCTCATCTTCCAGCAAAGCCACTGTCATAGCTTTGGAACATTTCTTTTTCCTGAATCTAGATTCCCCAGGAACTGCCTGAGTTTGCACGTGTTTGGGGGAAACACATACTGCATTTCCCATTGATCTTCATTGTTTTTAACCCACATGGGGAAAACCTTATCTTGAGTTACCTGGTGCCGGGCTCGACTCTGATCCAGAAGCTGGCGGGACTGAAGTTTCTGTTGTTCGAGTTGCTGCAGGGCAAAATGGAGTTGGTAACTGCCCGCGGTGGGGTGGTACTTGTGCTGGGGGATCACCCCAGTAGCCTTGCTATACGCGTTGTTCTCTACCTCTCCCTCCCAGGCAAAGCCACCTGTTTGGAGGCTCCTGAAGAGAAAAGAAAGCAGATTTCTTAGAGCGATTGCACAGACCATCTAAAGAAAAAGGAGAGAACTACCCCAGGTATTTTTCCTCTAATGTACTATACATGGTTAGTCTGGAATTACAAGGTAAATTGCACATTAACCTAGAGCACCAAAGACAAAGACAGGGGCTACTCAGCGCCAAGCTCTGCGATGGAACTTACTGTAACACCTGCCAGATGACCAGTGGAATGCTGAATAATCAAAATAGCCAGGTCTCTCCCCATCCCACCCTACCCCACCATGACTGCCCTGAGGCCCTTTTGCGGATCCCAGAGAGCGTCAGGCGCAGAATGACAGTTGAGCTACAGTTGAGGTAGAAGCACAAGCAGCTCTCGCATCAACTTGAAAGGTTTAGGAATGGGTGATATACAGAAGCCTCAAGTTTTCGGAATCACCCCTTAGTGAAGCACTGGGTTTCTTCAAGAGAAATGCTTATATGTATACCTCACCCACCATAGAGTAACACGACTGGTGTGAGAAGAAACTTGGTCATTTTCCTAAACTGATCCGAACAGGATCCAGCTGGGTGGGACCTGGCTATACATGCGGGAAGGTAAGGAGCCCGCAATGTGTATAGTCCATGTCTTCCCCACTTACAGGTTCTGGCACTCTGCGTGCAATCCTTTTCTCCCAGAGAGAAAAGTCTCCAGTGAGAGCTGCCACTTCAGAGCTGCGGAATGGCCAGTATCAAAACCCCAACCGCACAGAAAAAAAGCCAGGAGCAGAAAGCCTGTGGCGAAACTGGAACTTGTATGCGTTGTTGGTGGGAATGTAAAATGATGCAACTGTTGTACAGAACAGTCTGGCAGTCGCTCAGCAAGTGACTGCAGAGCTATCATGCCGTAGGTCCAACCTTTCTATCCCTGCATATATACTCTAAAGAACTGAAAGCAGAGGCACAGATGTCTGAACACTCGTGCTCAGCGTAGCACTGCTCAGGAGAGTCCTAAAGTACAAAACCATCTATGGACAGATGACTTGCTAAACAGAATATGAGCTACACACTCGGGAATATTATTCAGTCTTAAAAGGAAGGAAACACACAACACCCAATAAAAGAGAGAGAACAAAAGGGAATGCTCTGCCACAGAGGCAGAGTGGGATGGGGGGGCGATGGGGGGGTGGGAGGGATACTGGGATCCGTGGTGGTGGGAAATGGGCACTGGTGGAGGGATGGGTATTTGATCATTGTATAATCGAAACCGAAAAATAAAATAAATAAATTAAAAAAAGGGAAGAAAACACTCCGTAAGCGCAAATGTGGAAGATGATACGGGAAAGTCATGTAAATCAGTCACAAATACTGTATCGTTTCACCTATATGCAGAACCAGAAACAGTCAAATGGTTAGAGGTAAAGTCAGATTTGGTTGTGTGGGGTCAGGGAGACAGGGAAAGAATGAAAATTGTTTATGACTGTATTGATGTTTTTCAATGGACCAAGAAGTCTTAGCAATGGGAGGTAGCAATAGTTGCACAACACTGTATAAGGTGCGGGGGACCCTGTGATGCCTGGAATCCAAGTGTGGGTTGGCTCCGGTCAAGAGCTGTGCCATGAGCCCTGGACTGTGTTTCTGGCTCTGCCACAATCTTTTGAAAAGGTCCTTGTTTGCTTGTAAAACAGTCTTATTTGGCAGCCCTTCCTTAAAAGTACTGGTCATTCCTCTCTGAACCTTCTTTAATTACCCTGTATCATCATTGGTTTTTCTTTTTTAAAGCAACAGGGACCCAAAAATTGTACACAAGAGAAATTATCTCATGATGAATAAGCTGATCCCAAACCCTTTCTTAACTGGGGCTTAAGAAAATGCCACAGTGCTTAATTGAAAAGAACTATTCATCATGATTTCCCCAGCACGGTGTGATCCTTTGTCCATTTCCTCTGGCACCAATGGCCATGTCAAGGGCAAAGCCGCAGGACCCTGGGTTCTGCAGATCTTCCTGTGTCCTGACCTTCTGTTTGCCTGGTTATTCCGTGTGGGTCCGACGGACCATAAATGAACTTGGCGGTGAGAACAAAGAGGAACATTCCTCTCCTGCCAGCCATCTCTCCTCAGACATTGGTCTCCTCTGCTTTCCTTGCCTTTCTCCATGAGATTTCCACAGAACTAGTTAAGGAAAGGCTGTAGAAGGGACCAAGGTGACAATGATAGTTGGAAATGATCATTTTGGACAGGAACTGAGTGTTGAAGTAGGTAAAGGGGTATACCTAATAACCTTTCAGTATCTGTACTGCAAACCACAAGGTCCAAAATGAGTGAGTGCATGTGTGTGTGCACATGAGAGAGAGAGAGAGAGAGAGAGAGAGAGAGAGAGAGAGAGAGAGAGAGGAGAGAGAGAAGAGAGAGAGAGAGAGTGTGTGTGTGTGTGCACAAGAGTGCACACACAAGAGAGAGGGAGAGTGCACATGAGAGAAAGAGAGACAGAGAGAGAGAGAAACAGGGACATTGGTGGTGGGAAAAGTACACTGATGAAGGGATGGGCGTTGGAACACTGAATGACTGAAACCCAATCATGAACAATTTTGTTTCTGTGTATATCACCTTGTTCAATTAAACAAAACAAAACAAAAGGAAAGCCTGTGTAATGTACTCTGAACTTCTGCACTCCAGGGATGAAAAGCACATGGTCTCTCCTCTGATACGTCACACCTCTTCTTCACTCCCTCCACAGCTTGGCCCCCGCAGTTCCCCTACACAATTATACACTTGCAGCTAATCTTTTTGGACATCAGTACCCAAGTTCTTGGAACCTATTTATTACCTTTCTGAGAATGAAATCTGATCTATAGTCATCCTTGAATGTCTGCTATTGAACAATTAAAAAGATACTGTCTTTTCCCAGTATCAGGTATTTTCCATCATCTGGGTTTCTGGGGGGTATATGTGTGTATATATTATATGTATAATACAATAAAATACACACATCACATATATATGCATATATGATACCTTTTTCTTTTGCTTTTTGGACACAGTATCTGTTCCAATCTTTGAGACTTCATAACATAATAGCAATCAAATTATGAGTGATCCAAGAATTTTACAAGCAGTATGAAAAAGCTCCAACTACAAATTTGGTTATCTTTCCTATTGCTTTCTTTTTATTCCTTAAGCACCCACAGATACCAAATGCTGATTCTCACTAAGAATAGTGCTAGTAAAAGCTCTAAGTCTTGCATTAGAGAAAAAGGAAACTGTAAAAGTCCAGTAAAACAGTAAAATCTATTAATCAGATTTTGATTTTTTTTAAGTTATTTGAAGATTGCATGAAACTATTATAGTAAGGGCTGGTAAAGAAGGACATTTAGGGCAAGGAGAGGGACAGAATTCTTCCTCTGACTCAATTTGTTACTTGTTTATAAAAAATTGAGTCAAAGCATTTTCACGAGAAAATAACTTTTCAGTGTTGTCAGAAGTGTTAACTCATTCCTTCATTTAGTTAAGGGTTTTTTTTTTTTTTTTTTTTTTTTTTTTTGCTTTTTGGGTCACACCTGGCGATGCACAGGGGTTGCTCCTGGCTCTGCACTCAGGAGTTACTCCTGGCAATACTCAGGGGACCATATGGGATGCTGGGAATCGAACCTGGGTCAGTTGTGTGCAAGGCAAACACTCTATCCGCTGTGCTATCTTTCTAGCCCCAAGGTATTTTTTAAATGGATTTATATTTTCAAATCACTGGGCTGGAGAGATAGCACATTGGGTAGGGCGTTTGCCTTACATGCGGTCAACCCAGGTTCGATTCCTCTGTCCCTCTCAGAGAGCCTGGCAAGCTCCCCGTGGTGTATTTGATATGCCAAAAACAGTAACAACAAGTCTCACAATGGAGACGTTACTGGTGCCCGCTCGAGCAAATAGATGAACAATGGGAGGACAGTGGGACAGTGCTTGCTTTTTGGGTCACACCCAGCAATGCTCAGGGGGGTTCTTCCTGGCTTTGCACTCAGGAATTACTCCCGGTGGTGCTTGGGCGACCACATGGAATGCCGGGGATCGAACCCAGATTGGTCGTGTGCAAGGCAAACGCCCTATCTGCTGTACTATCCCTCCGGCCCCAACATATATAATACATTGACATTAATAAGATGATAACATCATTTACAAAGAGAAGTCTCTGGGAGAAAAAACAGGAGTGAGCCAAGTTAAGGAGCAAATGAATGGCTGGAGGAATCAGTTGTGATTCTCTTCTCATTAGTGAGGGAAGAGAAAAGTTGGCTGGAGATAGCTGCAAAGAACAACTGAGTAGCTAAGAGAATGTAGTGTGAGGGGAGGCAATGGAGAACGGTATCACGGTACCCAGGTTCTAAATGAAGATCTGAGCGGGGCTAGGCTGACCCAATAAACAAATGAGCACGAAGGAAGAGACACAGGAAATGCCTGGCTGATTAACCCTGAGATTCCCATGCTATTTAGGGCAGGCATTTGAATCTAGAATAAAACCATGACTTAGGATAGCTGGAGCATAGGGCAGAAAATTCACCAATTGAGATTGTGTTCCTGTCACTTGCTTTGTTTTAGTTTCTAGTCATGAATAGCAATCCAGCCACATAGATTAGATTTTGCAGGATTAGGCAAAAATGTACCTTCAACGTGAATCATTGCACTCAGTAACCACACTGGTTTTACTGATTTTATGTTCTAAAAGTTGCTTTCATTATAAATATTCCCAGGAGGGGCATTTACTTGAATGCCTTCTTGCTGAATATGTATGCATGTATATGTATGTTTTTATACATATACATAAATACATATATATATATATATACATACACACACATACATATCGATCAATCAGAATCTGCAATCAGGCCACCTTGTTTGGAGAGGACTGAGAACAGATTCACAGGGGGCTGAGGATGAATGCAGGGTAGAGCACTGGGAAGAAAGTATCGAATAAGGAACTTTGGCTAGAAGAGATTTATTCATTCAAGTGCACACACATTGAACAAGGCTGCAGCATCATA